TTCGACTTCCAGGCTAAAGGAGGGGCCCCCCGCTGCAGGGGGGCCCCCCGGGGGCCCCCCGGGGGCCCCCCGGGGCTGCTGCTGCTGCCAGTTGGAAGAGACTGGGGTGCTCCTCGTGCAGCAGCAGCAGCTGCTGCACCAGCTGCTGCGCCAACTCGCTTATTAAGGGACACAAAGAGCCATTGAGGGCCTCCGCCAGCACCAGGGCGGAGGCTGGCAGGGGCCCCCGCGGCACGGCTTCCACAGCCCCTGCTGCTGCTGCTGCTGCTGCTGCTGCTGCTGCTGCTGCTGCTGCTGGGGGCGCAGCAGCGTCGGCTTCCTCCGCAGCAGCAGCGACCGCCGGCATGGTCTGCGCGGGAGCAGAAGCAAATGCAGATGTTAATCAGCTCAAACAAAGTTCAGCAGCAGCGCCTGCTGCTGCTGCTGCTGCTGCTGCTGCTGCTGCTGCTGCTGCTGCTGCTGCTCTTGGCGGCGGGGCCCCTGGGAGTGCTGGACAGCAGCAGCTTCTGCTCTGGCTGCCTTTGAGCAGCACATAAACTGAAATTAAAATTTTAAAACTTTAAATTTTTGTTTTGAAAAATAAATCCACAAATTCGCCTCTGAGGCTTCGATGCTGCCCTGCAGCAGTGCTGCGCTGCAGCAGCAGCAGCAGCAGCAGCAGCAGCAGCAGCAACGCCGCCCGGAGAGGCTACGGATCTTGTTAGAGTTTAAAAACAGATGCAGTTTTATTTTGTTGATTAAAAAAATGTTAAATGAACCACCAAGCTTGTGGTTTTTTTTTGCTGCTGCGGATTCAGCTGCTGCTGCTGCTGCTGCTGCTGCTGCTGCTGCTGCTGCAGTCTGGGGGGCCCCCTGGGGGGCCCCCAGGGGCCCCTGCGGTGTCGCTCCGACTGCATTTTCAGCATTTGAAGCAGCAAAAAGAGTCAATGAAGTTTAAATTTAAAATTAATTTTCTTTTTTAATTTTAAAAAACAAAATTGCTGCTGCAGCTGCAGCAGCTGCTGAGGGTACCTGGCGGGGGGCCCCCGGGTCTTGAGTTGAGGCTCGGGGGCCCCCAAGAAGGGTATGCTGCAGCAGCCCGCACAGGCAGCAGCGGCTGCAGCAGCAGCTGCTGCAGCAACTGCAGCAACTGCAGCAATCGCAGCAACTGCAGCAGCAGCTGCTGCAGCAACTGCAGCAACTGCAGCAATCGCGGCAACTGCAGCAGCAGCTGCTGCAGGTTAGGCGTGGCGGTTGCTGCGATGCGGCGGCGCCCATGAGCTGCTGTTTGCGACAGCAGCTGCGGCAGCAGCAGCAGCCGCTGCTGCTGCTGCTGCTGCTGCTGCTGCTGCTCGGGGGGACTGAAGCGCGGGCTCTGCAGCAGCAGCCAAGGGGGGCCCCCCAAGGGTTCTTACTGGGGCCCTGGGGGCCCCCTCTGCAGCAAAACCCTGGGGGGCCCCCCTGCACCAAAAGTGTGGGGCCCCACACCTTCTTGGGGGCCCCCCGGGGGCCCCCCAAAGCCCTCAGAAAGAACTTTGAAAAAGACTCTGAGTTGTGTTTGGCCCTGGAGACTTCCTGCGATGATACTGCTGCTGCTGTTGTCAGCAGGTTCGTTTGCTTCTGCAGCAGCAGCAGCAGCAGCAGCTGCTGCTGCTGCTGCTGCTGCTGTTGCTGCTGCTGCTGCTGTTGCTGTTGTTGCCGCTGCTGCTGCTGTTTCTGCTGCTGCTGGGCTCGAGGGCCTCTGCTTGTGCTGCTGCAGCTGCGACTGCTGCTGCTCGTGTGTAGCTGCAGCAGCAGCAGCTGCTGCTGCTGCTGCTGCTGCTGCTGCGTGTGTTTGCTGCTGTGTCTGCTGCAAAGCCGCTACTGGCGCCGCTCGTGCTGCTGCTGCTGCTGCTGCTGCTGCTGCTGCTGCTGCTGCTGCAGCAGGGGCGAAGTGCTGGCGAACTGCGTGTGGGGCCAGGGCCAGCTGACAGCAGCATTTGGAGGAGTTTGCCCAGCAGCAGCAGCAGCAGCACATCGCAGCTTTGCTGCTGCTGCGCTGCAGCAGGCGCTGCAGGCAGCTGGTGTGTACGTACACCCCAACCGCCGCTTCATTTGCTGCTCTTTTATTTTATTTATTTATTTATTTTTATTTATTTTTATTTATTTTTATTTACTTTTATTTACTTTTATTTATTTATTTATTTATTTATTTATTTATTTATTTATTTATTTATTTATTTGTATTTATTTGTTTGTTTATTCAATTATTCATTATTTATTTGTTTATATTTTATTTATTATTTATTCATATATTATTTATTTGTATTTTATTATTTGTATTTAATTTATTATTTGTTATTTTCTTGTTTGTATTATTATTTATTGTTTATTACTTATTTGTTATTTATAATTATTTTTTTATTATTTATATTTATTTATAATTTAGTTATTTTTTTACTACGAAAGATAAATGAAATGTAAATTAAATAAATAAAATTAAATAAATAAATTTAAATAAATAAATAAATAAATAAATAAATATTAAATATAAGAATTAAATACATAAATTATTGATACGTCTCTGCTGCTGCTGCAGCGGCTCCGTCTGCTGCTGCTGCTGCTTCACCTGCTGCTGCTGCTTCATCTGCTGCTGCTGCTTCATCTGCTGCTGCTGCTTCATTTGCTGCTGCTGCTGCAGCTCTGCCTGGTGGTGCTGCTGCTGCCCCATCTGCTGCTGCTGCTGCTGCATCTGCCGCTGCGGCTGCTTCACCAGCCGCTTCTGTTTCACCAGCTGCTGCTGCTGCTCCATCTGCTGCTGCTGCTGCTCCATTTGCTGCTGCTGCTGCTGCTGCTGCTGCAGGAGCGGATTCTTTTTCTTTGAGTTTTTTGGCCTTCACAGAAGGGCCTGGATTATCTCTGTGTCTCCGCGTAGCAGCAGAAGCAGCAGCAGCTTTTCGTTTCTCTTTCTTGGCCCTTCTTGCTGCAGCAAAAGGGGGGCCCCCCGGGGGGCCCCCCCTGGGGGCCCCCCCCCTGGGGGGCCCCCCCCTGGGGGCCCCC